CTTCAACAATTCCTCCATTTGAGTACAATTCCTATAATTAAAGATAAAATCACATAAATGACACGTTTTTACTCGGCATATAAACAAAATATCTCATAAAGGGATATTAAAAATAGATAATCATGTGCACATCAAATACTACCAAACTTTAAATATTGCTTGTCATTAAGCATTCCAAAGAATTAAAACAAACAAAAACATTTAATTATTCAATTCGGTTGCCTCAAAGTTTCAACATCATATAACACAAACACTTGGGCTACCTCTCCTATGCACCACCCGACAATATGCAAACTATATGCTCTTCTAGTCCCTGCGCTTGTGTGTGTTTTCAATTCGTTTCTTAGGAATTTACTTTACATTAAGCATAGAAAACATAAGCTCTCTGCAAATATGCCATTTTACTTTAACCACAGACTCACATTTCATACTACATTTCAATGCAATGGGCAACTAAACATACTATGAAGTAGAAGGACTTATGTCACACATACAACCTATTCCCCTTCGTAACACTTTCTCGGTCCATACGGCTTTTCTTCCAGACTCTTTCCCACTCAGGCCCTTACCCAGAACATTTTTTCACTCCTTTACATAGTGGCTCAGCAACTTAGGGCAATCCACATATCTATCTTTCCTCACCGGGCCTAAGGACTCTCCGCTCTTTGGTTGCCAAAATCCTCACCTCTCAATGGGCTAACATTAACATTGAATACTCTTCATTTTCTCCCTCATTAAATTTAACCTAACCTCAGAAGCATCCGCCAACACCTCTCTCCCAAACTTACTCAACACAAAGTGTCAAAGCAAGAAGGTTTTTTAAGGCTGATATTGGGTTAATGCCTTGCTTTTCCTTCACAGCATGATGGGTCCCACATACAAATTATATAAGTATGAGTGGATCAAACACAACTTTCATGGCATATCTACATCAAACTTATGCAAGTATATCTCACGTTAGGCTTATCCCATAGTCACGACTAAGTGTAAAAAAAGTAGGGTATTCAAAGCAACATATAGAAATAAATAAGCCAGGTAACACAATTCAAAATAGTCTAATTCTTACATGTCATCGATATAAACACAAGACACAAATTTCTCCCCCACACTTAAAGTATACATTGGCCTCAATATATAAAACAGAAAAGAAAAGTAACCAAGTGAAAAGAAAAGAAAAGACATAAATAAAAAGAATGAAAAGAAACGACACAACCTTGGAAATGTGAAGGGGAGAACCAAAATAGTTGGAGAAAAAGAATCAAGAGATCTATTGCATGACCATCCAAGTATTTTCCAGCACCATTTATTCTAGAGTAGCTGTCAAACAAAACAACAGAACAAAAACATATGAAATAGATGATTAAAAAAACCATAAAAATTCATGCAAAATAAAATAAAATAAAGCAAATTAAAATGTTAGGTTGTCTCCCAAAAAGCGTTGTTTTAAAGTCTTTAACTAGACTTCATTGTTGATCAGTCCGAATACCCATCTCGGTACCATAAAAATCCAAGTTCAATAGCAGTGATGAAGCTCTTGTAGTGGCTCTCCTTTCCATGAGAAAATATAAACTTGTATTCTAACACTACAATATCTTCTTTCTCAAACTCAATCTTGTACCACTGATCCTCGTCTTGGTCTTTCATTGAATCATCTTTGGCATCATCCTCAATATCTCCTAGACTAGGGCCAAACTCACCACATTGTCCTACTTGAAACCCTTCTTTTAAAACTATAAGAATGTTTTGCTCATTGAAATCAACTTGATCCACATCTTTGTCAACGACTGTCAAAATAAGTGAATCTTGCTTCACCACAATATATACTCCTGAACACTCAAGATAACTGGTGGAATTTGGACTTGTAATCTCTTCAATCTGTCGTAATTCTTCACATTCAATCTCAGTTTTAGATGGTGACTGGGGAGGTTGGACCAATGTATCATCTTAAGAAATCTCATTACTCTTATTCAATTTAAGCAAAGGTCCTATAAGATCATATTTTGGCAACCCCACACTCAGCCTATATTAGTTAACTTATTCAATAAATTGTTTGCTTTTTTCACTGTGCAAATCTCGAAGAACTGCCTCCCTAATAGTAAGTTGAGGTTGAGCAGGTGGCAGTTGTTAAGAGGATGCTAATCTCTAATAGTGGGTTCAGCTTGTGTCGACTACAGGACTACTAGCTCACCAAGAGTAGGTTGACGAGGTGGTGACTCTAAAGTTGCTAGCTCCCTAAAAGTAGGTCGAGCTTGTGGTTGCTGATATTCTGATGAATTCGAATAATAAGAATCCTCTTTATAGAAATTGGAAGCATTATCCTTGTTGTTGTCAATCAGCAATTTTTCAATGCTCTCCAAACATGACAATATCTTAGAACTCATATACGGACTCTCAAAATCAGAATTGTAACCCATATCAGGCTCATATCCTTGATAATCATAACCATTGTAAGGATTTTTAGAGTAATTGTTCCAAGACTACGGATCTTCTTGATATGTAGGATAGTCTCCATATTCAGAATGATGACCATAATAAGGAACATCTCTATATCAATAGTTAAAATTTTCCATGATAACTCCAGAATCGTACAAAAATATTGACAAAAGAAAGAAACGAGAATAAAATTAAAAATAAAAATAAAAATCAGAAATTAATAAAACATGGAAAAATACATACAAGTCTAAATTAATAAAAGAAATAATCTAGTTTCGATATTGGTTATTGCCTTTCCCGCAAAGGCGTCAAATTTGAAAAAACCGTCTTCACTACTAGTCAAATATTTACCTACACAAATACTAGTATAGCACTAAGTAGGGTCGATCCACAAAAAAAGAAGATTAAATGTCGCTTACTATTATTTAGACTCATGATGATCTCAAATTTGCAAACTTTAAAACTAGAACAAATAAAAATAAAAGTAGATAGTATTAATTCAAATGATCAGACAAAGGAAACCTAGCACATTGGGTTCACCTACCGAATACTTGCTTCAATTTTAAGTCATACATATTTGGCTTTGAATTTTCATTAATCTCACAACAATTTACATATTTAAGAACTATTCACCCTCGTGATATAACTCTCTGACTCTAATTAACACTATGAGTACTGTCGTCACTATAGGGTATAATTAAAGTACATTAAGATCTTAAGACTTACAAATTGCAAAGGCAATACTCCTACTGTCGTGCCTCACTATCTAAGTTTAATATTCTTATACGTTAACCTTCAACTCTCGCTCCTTCAGTTAAACACCTCTAAACATGCAAATAATGGCCAATTACTTACATGAATTAATTCAAGAATATCAAATGTTGATCAAAGAAAAAGTCAAAATATAATGAATCGAAATAAATCAAATAATCCGACGGCTACATCCAAACCTAGGTTAAAGAGACTTCACTACTAAACATTATTAAAAACAATTCGAAATTAATAATATTCATTGTCTGAATATTCTGAAAATAAAAATAAAACTGAAATATGAAACCAGGTGCCAAACAGAGCCGCAAAGCTTGCCCAGCCGTGAAAGACAACTTCGAAGCTATCGTCCGGAAGTCAATCTTTGTAGCTGCTTGCTTGGTTTTACGGTTATCCGTGATGGTGAAGCAGGGTGCTACGGGGCTGAGCAAAGGAGAGTTGAGGATGGTGATGATACGTGAAGTACTGGTGACGGGGGGTATGCTTCGGGCTTGGGTAAGTGAAGGGCGGAGAGGTGTGGGTGTTCTGTAGCAGCGGCGGACGTGGGTTTTCGGTGGTTCGGTGGTCTTCCTTAAATGGTCCAGATCTTTTCCCATTTATTTAATAAAAAATGGCAGCCCGCATTCAAGTAATTGGAGTCCAAAACCAAGCGATGCAATGCACTTCTCGGCCTAACCCAATCCAGCAAGTCCAGAATTTCATCTTCGGCCTCCAAGTTCCCAAGTCATCTGATCCTTCCTCATCGATTTGGCTAATCTTCAATTCTGCCCCTTTGAGTTACTTTTTATCCCAATTTTAGCTCAAAACTTAAACAATTCCTCCATTTGAGTACAATTCCTATAAATAAAGATAAAATCACATAAATGACACATTTATACTCTAAATATTAACTAAATCTCTCATAAAGAGATATTAAAAGTAGACAAATTATTTGCATATTAAAAGTAGACAAATTATTTGCACATCAAGTGTGTGTGTGTGTTTTTTTTCTTTTTTAAAAAATGTAGATATATTGTTGATACTGGTTTACATAGTTCTATTTCAGTTATCTGCAATTAAGTTTCAATTCATTTCTGATGCATTTTTTCCGTTTCAATTCATTTCTGATGCATTTTTTCCCTCCTCCTAAAGGATTATTGCGTTAAATTTACTAGTTTTACTTTCTTTCTTGTTCTGTATATAGATAATTTTTGTATATTTGATTGTTGTAGATCTTGAAGGCCCGAATATAGCCCATACGTGGTTCCATCTTAAAACCAATTAGTGATAAGATGAGTAGTAGATGTGGTTATATATTGGATTCAAGAGTCTCCATATATCCATGTGGGACAAGCTTATATTCTCTTCTCAAGACCGAAGGGGTGTTATGCCCTGGGATAGTTTAGTAATTGTTGATAGTTCTGGGGTTGTTTTGTAAATAAGGCTAAGCATGGTCAGACTATAAGTCAACTATTGGGTCTGTATTGAATATCTGAAAATCAGAATATTGATATATTGAAACAGTTGTTTCTTCCCCAAATATCTCCGTTCACCGGAGTTATCCCTTTTTCCATTAATTCACGCCGTTCCGAAGCCTTTTTCGGCGACGGTTCTGGTTTTCCATTTCACCATTTAGGCTCGGTCCTAACATTTGTTATTCAGAGCTTGCGGATTCTCGGATCTGTGAGTGAAAATGGCTCCCAATCAATTTGCTGCCATTGCGGCGGAGGAGCAGGGTACGAATTTTCGTTCGGAATTTGAAGAATTCGTAGCTCAGGTCTTCTGCAAGTTTGTCAAAACGGTTGGAGGAAGGTTTGGCAATGATCAGCATGGAATTGTCGCAGAGCTTAGCGAAGTCAATTGAAGATCTGATGCGAAGCGTTGTGGCTAGGTTTGAGAAAAGGTTCGAGGTTTTGGAAGCAAGGATCTCTGAGACGGAGTTGAAGCAGGAAGCTTCAGTAGAGGTGGAGGTTCGTACCTTGAATTTGGATAAAGATTCCAGCCAAGAAATCAAAGTAGGTATTCCGGCGATGGTAGCCTTAATTCCAATTGGGGGACAAGGTAATTCTTCATCTCAAGTAGAAAATTTTGCTGAATTTCTAGATTCTGATGATACTTCTTTGAAATTGGATGGTGATTTCTTGAGTTTGGATATAATGAATTGTGGAATTGAGGATGTCCCTGATGAATTTGTTCCTTTCATTGGCACACATGCTTCATTTGAGAATTTTGATTACAAATGTGATGATTTTGTGAGCATAATTGAGGCAAAAGTGAATTCCGTGAATCTGGTTGAACGGAATGATATTTCTATTATTAAGAATTCATTGGACATGAACAAGTGATGTTGGTGTCATGCTAATAAGTTCACGGAACGGTTATTCACCTCTGGTTTTAAAGGTGGAACAATGCCATGGGAATCATTAACCTCTGGTTTTAAAGGTGGAACAATGCCTTTAGAAATGGAACCTTGGGTTAATAGGGCAACAGCATTCAAAGGTGGTACTAGTATCATCAAATCACTGGAGTTCAATGAATGCTATGTTGGTATGTGGTGGACTGCATTCCTGAATGCATTTTGCAGCCACAAGCTTGTTTTTGTAGAGAATGGAGTTATTACTCGTTTTTGGTTGACTAGGAGGCAAATGGAGTATATGGAGCTTTTCATTTTTCATTTTTACCGGAAGTATGATGGTGACATAGTCCTTGGAATGTCACGAATTCAAAATCTGAAGGCAGTGGAGGTATCTTGTTTTAAGGGGCCTCAAAACTCTTTGATTGGAACAAAGCATTTCTTGAAACTACATCTGATGAATGTTATGGACAGAGCAGCAAGTGATGTAAGGGCACTCATTTTTACTACTGAGCATATAGGTACTTTGACTCTTCCACCTAGAGATGTTATTGAAGTAGAGCATGATCTGGAGTTTTTAGCGGGTAGAGAAGATATACTTCAAGACATGTTGCAGGTTTTGATGAGTCGATTATGGGGGACATTCGGCGGGGAGCAAGAATGCAGTGGTGGAATGTCAAGAGTCTTGGAGACTACTCCAAACAGTTAAGTGGAAGATAATAAAAAAAAAAGGGAGAACTGCGTGTCAAACTTCAAAGGCAGCATGATGATCAATCCAGACAGAAGCTCAACAAGCCGAAATATCTCAGTAGCAAGTCTTGAGGTCAAGACTTTGTTGAACAAGGAGGGATTGTTAGGCCCCGGATAGTTTAGTGATTGTTGATAGTTCTTGGGTTGTTTTGTAAATAAGTCTAAGCATGGTCAGACTATATAAGTCAACTATTGGGTCTGCATTGAATATCAAAAAATCAGAATTTTGAAATATTGAAACAGTTGTTTCTTTCCCAAATATCTCCGTTCATCCCTTTTTCCATCAATTCAAGCCGTTCCGAAGCCTTTTCCGGCGATGGTTCTGGTTATCCATTTCTCCATTTAGGCTTGGTCCTGACAAGAGGTTGAATAAATCAGATAAACTGCCGGATAAGTAAAGGCCAAGATATAACTAAGTAAGTAAAAGAAATAAAAATAAAAGGCCCAAATTCGGGTAAATAGAACTAGAACGCCCGAACGGGTAAGTAAATCAGACCCCGGATTTAACTGCCGGGGCAGTAAAAGTACGTCCCACAAGTTATACAGGTCCTCGGATAAAGCCCGTTCTGATACTATCTTGAAAGCACAAATATAGGCGCACACGTGGTTCCACCTTAAAATCAATGGGCAATGGGTGATAAGTGGAGTAGTACTTGTGGTTATATATTGGATTCAAGAGTCTCCATTTATAACAAGCTTATATTCTCAGCAGTAGATGACAATAGAGTCCCTCTGGTGCCATACCTTTATCTCAGTTATCTGTAGTTGTGTTTCAATTCCTGATGCATTTTTCTCCCTTCTTTGAGGATTATTTCGTTAATTGATAATCCAGTACATGAAATTTACTAATTCTTTCTTAGTCTTTATCTTGTTCTGATGTTCCCTATGTCGAAAGCTTCGAAGGCTTCTGTATACTATTTGATTGTTGTAGATGTCAATGTGATCCCCTTTGAAGCTTTCATGATTTACTCGCATCCCGATTAAAACAGCAGATCTCGCATTCTACCGTGAAATAAAATAAATGGAGGAGAAAAGCTATCCAATTTGTCTTGATCTTGCACGTGAGTACTTGAATATATGTCTAAAGTGTCTCGATTTGGGCATTCTTGACGTTGGTTGCTCTGGTAGTCTTAGCGTTTCTAAGTATCCAATTGAGATGATGTTGATGGACTTGGAGGCTTTTCAAAATGTTCTTTTGGATGTCTTCATTCTGTGATGATTTTAAACACGATTGGCACTTGCTTTTTACTATCAATGTCATGATGCCTAAAATAAGCCAGGCAGTCGAAGATTTCAATGCCGCCTATGAAAAGCGCAGAATATCCATTTCAAGTGATTTCTTGGAATGAAACGATCCATGATCTAGGGAAAACTATTCAGCAGTTCAAGCCCCGAGTCAAAGAAATTTGTGATCTAGTATTGTTTGGTGGTTCTTTCATTTATGAGTCTCATCAGTTTCTTGATCAAAGAGAGCTTCAGTCTTTTGTTGACCTTATCATTCAAAATCTCATGACTCTAGTGAGCTTCAGTCTCATCAATTTGATTTTTCGACCAAACTTTCTTCATGATTTACAAACTAGAGGAACTTTCGAGGTTAACAAATCCTGCTAACCTTTCAATAACTAGAGTAAAGAAGTTGAGGATTCTTATATCTCGTGCCCTAACTCAGCTGAAACACATCTCGTTCTTGTATGTCTATATTGGCTTGATGGAAGAAAAGAGACCGTGGCATCTGCTGCCGAGACTATTGGCTTGATCATTTGTTCTAATTGATCAGCCTATGGAGGATTCGGAGGAGAGGGAAAAGATTTTGGCTCAAGTTTATGGCATCATCAATAGTCTACCATCTCTCATTCCCTCGATACAAGTTGATGACACCAAAAAGGAATTTCCAAGTCTAAGTTTTTGAGCTTCATGCAAAAGATCAACACAGTCAAAGGGTAAAATAAGCAAGTTGAATGCTTCAACATCGCACTCATCAGAAGTCATTTTTCCAGTGACTAATCATTTAGGATTCCCTCATTTGCTATTAAGAACACTGAAAAAATTGTTGGAAGAAAATGCCAAGATTCTTCCGTCAACGTTCTCAGTGAAGAGCTGACATTGCTCAGAATGCCTCTCCAAGGTAAGATGGGGCTGCAAAATGAGAATGGAGGATTAGAAGTTCTTTAGACTCAAGCTATTGGTGTGGTGTACAATGCAGCATACGTCACACACTTTATTCCCGCAAAGAGTTTCTCAATTTGGTATGGATCACAAGCATCCAGAATGTTATAGAGGACGTCAAGCTTATTAGGGCTAACCTCCAAAAGATTGAAGGTCGCAGGAATTTCAATTTCTACTACGAGATAGAGGTTAGTGCTCTTCCTTGGCCACGAACTAAGACTTTGTAAATTGAAGGAGCTTTTGTAGGCTTTAAAGAGGAATCCAGGTCAATTGCAGATCACCTTATAGGAGGAAGGGATGTTCCAACAGTCATTTCAATTTCTGGAATGCCTGGCCAAGGCAAGACTACCTTAGCCAAACGTATTTATAATGATGCCAGAATTCAATATCGCTTCCACAAGATTGTGTGTGTTATGTCTCGAAAGGGTGCAAAGATAGAGAGTTGTTGATCAAAGTTGGATGTGATCTTATTGGTAATGATGCCACTCATTTGATCGCATCAGGAAATGTCTAAAACAATGAAGATATCTCATTGTGATGGATAATATTTGGGATGTGAAAATATGGCGTGAAGTAGAAGGATATTTCCCAGATGACAACAATGGAAGCCGAATCATGTTTACAAGTCGTAATCAAAGACTGGCTTTCCAGGTCGATCAAAATTCCATTTCACATCAGCTTTGGCTGTTTTCAAAGGAAGAAAGCTGGGATTTAATGAAGGGGAAGCTATTCTCTGGCGATAGTGGATGTTCACTAGAATTCACAAAGATTGCAAAAAGAATTGCAAATCGTTGCAAAGGCCTGCTTTTAGCAGTTGCATTAATTTCCTCACTTATAGGAAGGATGAAGAGACAGTTGGATTTGTGGAACGAAGTTGCAGAAAATTTGAAGTCACGTATTGCTAGTGAGGGGTGTCAAAATGTGATTGAACTAAGTTATAAATTTTTACCAGAACATTTGAAATCGTGCTTTCTTTACTTTGGTGCATTTCCGAGGGGAGAAAACATTTGTGCTAGTACACTGGATTGCCTATGGAGTGCTGAGGGCTTTATCAAGGTTGATGATACACAATGCACCAAAGATTTGGCAAAAGAATACTTGAATAATCTCGTTTCTGAAAACTTAGTTGTTGTCTCTGAAAGAAATTCCATGGGTGGGATAAAGGAATGTAATGTACATGATCTGTTATATGATTTCAGCTTTGAGAAAGGTAGGGCAGAGAATTTCTTAAATTGGATGGAGAAGAGTCTTTTCATGGACCAAAGCTCTACTAGTCCCAAAAAGTATGTCTGCCATCGGCTTTCCATTTGTGATACTGACTCTTTGATCAGGCCAAAACCAATTCATATTAGAAACGAGTTACCAACAAGCAAAGTCTATTCATGTCTATGGTTAGGTCATCCTGCTGCAAGACAAGAAAGAACTCAATTTAATGTTCTGAGTCGTAATTGCTTCAGAGTTCTTAGAGTGCTGAATATGGAAGGAATTTATGTGAAAAGCAATCAGTTTCGAGAAATTTTATTGTTCAACATTCATCTCAGATACTTGGCAGTAACTTTGGCGGACCAGTGCGGACTCATTCCATCATCAATATCTAATCTGTGGAACCTTGAAACTTTCATAGTAAGATATTATAATCTTGCTTATCCGTTACCTAATTCAATGTGGAAGATGAGAAGTTTAAGACACGTTGAATTGCTTTGCCCTGAACTGGACATGCAAAATTTCGAGGATGTTGATTCTGTTGGAGCAAGTAGCATTGAGACACTTGGTAGTCTTGTCCTTGTTTATGATAGCAATACAGTGAAATAATTGAGGATGTTTCCAAGGCTCAAACCATTAAGATGCCGAATTGGAATCAAAGAGAGCCATCCCAAGTGGTTCTCCATGTTTGGTATTCCGACACATTTGGAGTCTCTCTACATTTCAGGTGCTTACACTGACATATCTTGGGAAGTTCCTATCTTCCAATTTGACGTTGTATGATTTGGGTCTAAGGTGGAGGACTATATCATGTGAAGGGCTAGGTGGTATTTGGAAGATAGGAACTTCCCAAAACTTAATTATCTCAAATTGGAGAATTTGACTCTAGAAAACATGGATGTCTCTGGCTGTGATGACCCATTTCCCTGTCTTGAGCAATTTATTGTGATAGAATGTTGCAAGCTTAAGGAGATTCCGTCCATTTTCGGAGCAATTTTTACATTTCAAATTATCAAGTTCATTTGCAACTCCCCTGACAGCACCGAATCAGTGAGGCAAATTTTGGAATGCCAGAGACACATAGGGAACTATGCACTCCAAGTATTTATCCAAGAAAACCATGATTCTGTTATATACAACGTGGAATTGTGAGATTTTGCGGATGACATCTGTAATAATGATGACGAAGAGGAATCATGAGAAGGAGATGATGAGTTGAGAAGACACGTGGGATGCGATGCTTAATAAGAACAAATATTGTAAGCCTCTTTAGTTCTTTGTATGAATTTATTTGGCTTCAAGTTCTCGTTAATGTTATAATCGCTTCCTACTACTATGCTCATGCAGTGAGAATAAGAACTAAAAGAATGGATTTGTCTGTATATTTCATGTATGTACGGTACAATATATATAGGCAACTTGTACAGAAACCCTAGCCATCTACGAAAATCCTAATTAGGGTTACCTAAATACATATCCTATCATCCCCCTGTAATCGTAACAAGATGAGATATTATGCCTAGATTGGTACGAAACAAATAAAATTTATATTTAGCTAAGGACTTGTTAAAAAACATCTGCCAATTGAGACTGTGTAGGAATGTGGAGAACAGAAAGAAGTCCAGCGATCACGATCGCGAATAAAATGAATATCTAACTCAATGTGCTTCGTTCTGGCATGAGAGACAGGATTAGCGGCGAGGTAGGTAGCAGAAACATTATCGCACAATATAACAGGAGAGTTGGGAAGGGTGATGTGAAGCTCAGAAAGAAGATGTTCTAACCAAATAGTCTCAGCTAAGGCTGAAGCAACCGCGCGGTACTCGGATTCTGTAGAAGAGCGCGAAATAGTAGATTGCTTTCTGGAGGACCAAGAGACCAAGGAGGATCCAAAAAAAACACAAAACCCAGTGGTGGAACGACGAGTCGTAGGGCACCCTACCCAATCAGCATCTGAATAGGCAACAAGACGATCAAGTGGACCAGCACGAAGATGGATACCATAGTGAAGAGTGCCCTTAATATATAGCAGAATATGCTTGACCGCCTGAAAATGTTGTTCTCGAGGATCATGCATATGCTGACAGACAACATTCACCGCATGCTGGATATCTGGACGAGTGAAAGTGAAATATTGTAGGGCACCCACCAAACTCCGATAGAGAGTCGGATTGTGAAAAGCTGGGGATTCTTCCACAGAAAACTGGAAAGCCGGACCCAGTGGAGAAGCAACAGGGTTAGCACCAGTAAGATGACTGCGAGATAATAATTCTCAGCATATTTTCGTTGATGCAAAAACCAACCATCAAACTGCGGAGAGACAAAGACACCCAGAAAGTAGCTAATAGGACCAAGATCGGTCATGGCAAAGGCACCTTTCATAGACTGAATAAGGCGTGTGAGAAGATGATCACTGGAGGTAGTTAAGAGGATGTCATCCACATACAATAACAATACAGCCATATCAGAACCCGCAGAATAAACAAACATAGAAGAGTCAGAGCGACTTCCTTTGAACCCCTGTACAAGAAAAAATGTAGTAAACCGGTGAAACCAAGCCCTAGGAGCCTGCTTTATGCCAGAAAGAGCCTTGTTCAATCGATAGACACAGTAAGGATGGTCTGGATGAACAAAGCCAATAGGCTATTTACATGTAGACAGTTTCATTCAGATGACCTTGCAAAAAAGTATTTTTAACATCCAACTGATGAACAGGCCACTTACGAGAAGCAGCAATACTTAATACAATCCTAATTGTCACTGGTTTAACCACAGGGCTGAACGTTTGATCATAGTCAATGCCAGGTTTTTGATTATAACCTTGAGTGACCAAACGTGCTTTGCAACGATCAAGAGAGCCATCGGACTTGAGTTTAACACGAAAGATCCATTTAGAACCAATCACATTTGCAGAGAGAGAAGGCGAGACTAGATCCCATGTATGATTAGAAAGAAGAGCATTATATTCATCACTCATAGCTGTAAGCCATTCAGGGTATTTATTTGCTTCAGTGAAAGAATGAGGTTCTATGGGAAGAGAAGTGGTAGTGGTAGTAAGAGATAAAATCAGTTTAGGTTTACGAGGATGAGGTGGTGGGACGGAAGAGGAAGCGGTCGAAACTAGATTGTTTGAAAGAGGTGTGACAGTGGTTGGAGGTGACACGGAAACAGATGTCTGAGACTTAGTTGGAGATGAAGGCACTGTTTGTGGAAGGGTTTTTGGAATGAAAAACGAAGGAGGTCCGAAATGCAAAGATGTGGGAAGAAGCTAAACCGTGGAAGACAACGAAGGGATGGGAAATGATGTTTCATCAAAGATAACGTGACGGGATATATAGACCCTCTGAGAGACTGGATCAAAACAACGATAACCCTTATAGGATTCAGGGTAACCGAGAAAGACACATGAAACAGATCTAGGACTAAATTTATGGCAGGCTAAGTGTGAAAGATTTGGAAAACAGGAACAACCAAAAACCCGAAGGTCGCCGTAATTGGGTGAGCGACCAAACAAAAGAGCAAAGGGAACATCACCATTTTTAGATTTAGTGGGCAGCATATTTAAGAGGTCGACACTAGTAGTTAAAGCTTCGACCCAGAACTGAGTTGGTAAGTGAGCTTGATGAAGAAGGGTACGAACCATGTTAAGGATGGTTTGGTTCATACGTTCAGCTTTGCCATTTTGTTGAGGAGTATATGAACAAGATATACGCATAGAAACCCCTTTTGACTTAAGAAAAGTTTGGAGAAATTGAGAACGAACATACTCAGCAGCACCATCGGATTGAAGAACTTTTATAGAAACGTTGAATTGAGTTTGAATAAGGGAATAGAACTCAACAAATTTTTGAGGAACTTCAGATTTATTTTTAAGAGGATAAACCCCCAAGTAACGAGTATAATCATCAAGAAATAACACAAAGTATTTGAAACCACTAAAAGAGAGACAAGGTGAGGTCCAAATATCGGTATGAATAATATTAAAGGCATTAAAAGTTACAGAAGAAGAAGGCCTAAAAGGAAGCTTATGATGTTTTCCTCGTTGACATGCTTGACATAAGTGAAGCTTATTTGAAGAGGCCACAGAACCAGGAAGACTTTGACGAGACATTAAACTGGAGAGAACTGAAGAGTGCAGGTGACCAAGACGTTGATGTCATATTTGTGAAGAGACAGAGGCAGCAAATGCCGGACATGACAAGGAGGATGGTGCGAGAGATTGTCGTAGCAAAGCTGTCGGGAAGGAGTAAAGAGAACCGGTACTATTCCAACGTAGACGAGGACCAGCCTTCGTCCACAGATCCTTCACAGAAAAACCAAACGGGTCAAACTCAAGGGAACATTGATTATCAGTAGCAAATTGACGAACAGAGATGAGATTTTTTGTAATAGAGGGAACATGATAGACATGAGGAAATTTAAGCAATGAACAAGGAATTTGACAAACAGATTTAATGGTTAACGCATTACCATTCCCAATCATAGCTTTAGTGGAACCAGTGAAAGGTTTTAACTTAGAGAGGATACCTGAGGTCGGAGTCATAGTGTTACCACATGCGGTATCCATATACCAAGAGGAGTCAACAGACGGAGGAGGTGGTGGTCGATTATAGTGATCGACATAGTAAGTGGGCTGCTGAAGTTGGAAGCAGTTGCGAGCAGAGTGATTGGGTTGATTGCATAACTGACAGAAGATCGGACTGAAAAATGGGCCCCGGACCAAGAAGGGAGGGAGCATGAGGACTAGGAGAAAACATGGAAGCTTGATAATTAGAATAAGAAAGGTAAAACATGTTTCGATATTGACCGTTTTGTTGATTTCGGCCACGTCCGCGACCTCTACCACAGAAATTCTGGAAACAACCCCGACCACGCTCGCAAACGTTGGAGAAGGGCTGAGAGATAGGGGAAGCAGGCGTCAGAGGAGAGTCGGTTGAAGGGGAAGCGACCAAGGCTGGGGTGGCTGCGGAAAGAGAGGCCGCGGGAGCTGTGCTTTGAAGCTGTACTTCATGGAGAAACAACATAGAACGTGCCTCAACGAAGGTTGGCAGCGGGACTTTGTGACTTATGGTGGTTGAGATAGATTGATATTCGGAGGGAAGGCCGGAAAGAATCTGAAGAACTAAGTCGGTTTCTGAGATTGGGAAACCAACATCCATCAAGGAATCGGCGTACGTTTTGAGTTTTGTTACATAGTCATTAATAGATAATTCATTTTTCTTGAGACTATGAAACTGAAGTTTCAATTGGAGAAGGCGCAAACCGAGTTGATCGTGAAACAATTTTTCAATTGTTAACCAGGCATTGCGAGCTGTGAGATTGGAGTTGGGTTTGATAATTGCTTGCAAGATTTCGGTTGAAACCGTGGCCTGGATCCAAGAGAGAACGATGGAATCAAGCTGAGTCCAAGACTGAAAAGCAGGATTAGGTGCAGAGGAAGAAGAACCATCCACAGCCGGAAGAGTAGGCGGCGGGCAAACAGCGGTGCCGTCGATATGGCCCATAACCCCGTGACCGCGAAACACAAGAAGAAACAGCTCCTTCCAGAGCATGTAGTTGGTGAAGTCAAGAACTGGAGTGATATAATTTTTGATGTTTGTGAGGTTGGCCGCCGGATGAGACAGGGACGGAGCGATGGAGTTGGAAGAAGAGGAATTGGATGAAGGGTTGTTAGTCACAGTTTCGGTCACAGGTTCATTGATGACGGAGGATTCAGTGGAGCGAGCCATGGATTACGATGAGACCGACAGAAGAGGATGAATATTATGCTGCTTTGTGGGACACGGATTAGAGTAGGAAAACAGAAACTTACGAAAGAGTGACTGATCGAATTAGAGTAAGATTCAGTGGAGTGACTGATGGTTTCAGAGGAGAAAAAATTATTAGTATTATTATTATTTTTTTTTGAAAGCCGAGAGAAAATTGAAAGAATCAGCGGCGGCGGCGACAACCCTAAATGAGAGGCCAGGAAAGAACCAGAAGAACCACGCAAATAGAATTTGTTTGTATATTGTTTGTCTGTATATTTTCATGTATATACGGTACAATATATATAGGCAATGTGTACATAAATCCTAGCCGTCTACGGAAACCCTAATTAGGGTTACCTAAATTACATATCCTATCAAGAACAACCGAGATAGCATTAGTAGTGAAGTCCTGTTGATACATCTTCTCAGGTGTTTAATTCAGTTTTGCTTCTTGACCTTCATTGGAATGCTTTGTCTTTTTTTTTTTTTTTTTTTAGCTGCGCAATCAGACCTGAAATTTGTTCCTTGTCAAAAAGTGTCGATGTTTGTCCTAAAATGTTAACCTTAGGCATCTTGAGTTTGGCATTTCATTTGAATTAAAAAGATGTTGGAAGTACTGGGGACGAAAAGGCTTCAGTAATTGCATATCACTTTGAGCAGGCCCTTTAAAGTTTTCAAGAATCCGTTGATTATTCAATAGGTGAAGTCGATATAAAGTTGAGGGAAAATTTACTTATTAGTAACTTAAAAAAAAAATGAAGAACAAAATATGTTTAGGGTTTAAATTGTGGCCAAAAATAGTTTTCTCGCGCTTCAGAAACGCGAAAAAATCAAAATCCGCGTTTTGAAAACGCTAAAAACACAAAATCGCGTTTTCAAAACGCGAATGTATATTTTTCGCGTTTCTGAAATGCGAAAAAGAAGGAGAAAAAATTAATTTAACATAATCCTAATTAATTAACTTGAATCAACAAGATTTCGCGTTTTGAAAACGCGAAATCAATTGAAAAACATTTTATTTAATAAAAAAGAAATAGGCATAAAAATATGATTAATTTGACTAGTTTAAAACGTTATAGGAAATTGACTTCAAAAATTATTAAATTTGAATAATGGTAACAGAAAATTTTAAAATTATAATGTTAATCATTAAATTTTGAATAGAGCTATAAAGAGGAAAATTATATTGATAATTTTAATAATACAAAAATTAAATTTTGAATAAGAATATAATATTATAATTGATACTCATTAAATAAAATAGAGCTATACTAAATATAAATTATTAAAAGTATGATATAGTTATTATAATGTATTAATTTTTAGAACATTATATAAAAAAATTAATAATGATTATATTAAAAATTTTATAAAAATGTAATCATTATTTTAAAAATAATTTTATATGAAAAATTTTCAATAATGATAATGACGTAATTTTATGGATTTAATGAGATGTAATTTAATTTACAAATTAATTTTATTAATTATGATGGTTTTAATATAAGAAAAAGCTTAAAATAAGAATAAATTTTATTAAATATTTATTTTAATTTACCAACACTTAAGATGAAGCAACTATTAATTATGAAAAAAATATAAGAAAGTTTAAATATGTGTTTCGATTTGATCGGCGAAGATGTGTTTTATAAATATTAATTATTGTATTTACGATGCGAGTGAAATCAAACTATTAAGAATATTAATACAAGTCATAACAAAATACTACAAGTCATAACAAAAGGTAAAAAAAAAAACAAGTCATAACAAAAGGAAAAAAAACAGAAATGAACAAAAGGGAAAAAAAAATACAAGTCTAATAATACTACATAAGAAGTCTAGTACCCTACTTCTTCTTGGGCTTTTTAGCCCGAAAAAGGCTATAAGTCAATCTATCGGGCTCCTTCGTCACTCTCTGGCCTTTACTCACAGCCAACGGTGGAGTCCCTAGAGTCGACTCGATCCACCGCTCCTCATGGCGCTGATAACCCTGACCCTCAAACTGATCATCCTGGTCTGCATCCTCAGCCTCATCCTCATCCTCATCCTCAGCCTCATCCTCAGCCTCATCCTCACCCTGACTCTCACGCTCACCCTCAGCTGGGTTATCAGCCTGATGCTGACCCGCAACACCTCGAACATACTCGAAAGAAAGTTACTCGTGTAATGTATCGATGGCCATCTAGCGAACTCTGCTGAAACCCGGAAAAGTCAATAAAAGAATCTCCAAACCGACGCCGAGAAGTCGGGGAGGAAAAGCGAGTGAAGGAAAATTAGACTGCTGGTCTTGGGAGACATAATCGGACGGTAAAACGCTGATGGGTCGGCGAAGAATGATGTGGAGACCGATGGGATGAATGATGTGGAGACCGATGAGCTGAATGTTGTCGAGAATGGAGTGGAGACGATGTGGAGACCGATGGGATGAACCGCCGGTGAAGGGAATATGAGACCGCTCATGCCGGGAGGACCGATGTGGCTGAGATGTTGTGATTGTCTCTTGCCCCCACGCCCACGCTGAGACCTGCGCGAACGCCTCGGAGGTCTGGGTGGTGGATGTTGCTGGGTCGGGTCCACAGGTGCAAGTTCTTGACTCAAAATGTCATGAACCTCAACATGCCTATCGAGATCGTGCCGTACAACATTTGTTGCATTGACGGACAACGCCCGCTCAAAGAACTCGGGCAATCTCGCCTAAGCGATCATAACCAAAGGAGTCCGCGTCGAAAGTACGCTGGCCTATAATACTCAGACTACGAACGTCCTCCATCAATGTGGCCTGAAATTTTTATTAGAAAGAATCATAAATCGACAACAGTGTTAATAAAAAGAACCAAATGGACTGTAGGCGAAATACTCACCATGAGGCGCAAGGTCTCTGCAGAACCGTGAAAACCCCTCGCATTTTCAGAGTCCGTCGGATCCGTAACATACTTCACAGTAACCTGATGGTACCACAAGAGATACTCCGGATCTGCGGAAGGCTCGCCAACATAAAGATCATCAGTCCCCACAACTTGGCCGTGGCGATCATTCCAAACCTGGAGATATATCCCTAGTTGTTGTAACCATCTCCTATCGGATCCTCCAAACGGCTTCCTCTTGAGCAGGCTAGTAATTTCCGCCGCAGTGAGAAGTAATGCGTCGCCGGGTATCCGCTGGTGATAACCAAATTGGCGAAATACCCTACTGGGGTTGTGTGGTGCAACGACATCACCGCAGATGAGCCATGTCTGAGATCGCCATATGCCCTGTCCCAGAATACCTTAAAGCCCTTCTCTATCAACTCCGATCACACTTAATACCTTATCAACAAGTTCCGAGAAATCTAACATACGATCAATGATAAGATAACCGTCCGGCGCATCCCGCTGTACCGTGATAGTCCCATCAGGTTCAGTTGTATAAGTAGTATTCCAGTATAATTTCAGACGAACTGTCTCCGTGAAAGACATTTGCGGGCTGCAAAATCAATTCCTACGAAATCAGTTTGCGGCCATAGTATTTACCCCGTTTACAGATTTAATAATTTTAAAATAACAACTATACGCCTGAATTTACAAATTCATTTGTATGCTCAAAATTAATATTAAATCTAAACCTTATGCCCGAATTACATAATTTATTCTTATGCTGTAAATATTCAAAAATTCAATATCATTATTATAATTTTATTTTATTTTACAGAAATCGATGTACAATAATTTACAATGCTCATCTAATTTAATATTCTATTAACTAATATTTCTTTCAATTTACTTTATCAGCCTCAATAAAAAACCACCGTTAATTGACTAAATCACAATTATATATTAACTAATAATAATGCGTAAATCATCCTATGCTCATAATAAAACATAAAAAAGTACATGTTTTTAATAACGAAATAAACTTACCTCAATGTTAAAACTTAGAGTTTTAAATAGGCTTCAGGACTCAAATCAATCTTCTTTAACCTCGGAGCAACTTCTCAATTTGAAGAAAATGAGAGTTTTCACGAATTCAGCAAGTCCTCCGGAGTAAAACTTAAAATCGGAGTTCAACAGAATGAAAGAAATTTGGAAAGAAAATTCGGAGCTGAACAATGAAAGAAATTTGCGGAGAAATGCTGTTAAAGCTTGTTTTATATATGAATCTTAAATTTCGCGTTTAACAAACGCGAATACATTCCAGACTTATCATAAAAAATACACGTGGAGACGGGTGAGTGGATGAGGAGATTTTTTGGATATTTTCGCGTTTTAAAAACGCTAAATCTATTTTTCGCGCTTTAAAACGCTAGAAATTTTGTTTCGCGTTTTCAAAACGCTAAATTTTTATTTGCAAAATTTACACTTTTAAACTTACAGATTTTCGCATTTTTAAACGCGAAAAGAAAGTTTCTCGCGTTTTGAAAACGCGAAAAGAAAGTTTCGCGTTTTGCAAATGCGAAAACAAAGTTTCGCGCTTTGCAAACGCGTCTTACGTTTTTCGCGTTTGTAAAACGCGAAAAACCTATTTTTCTTTTTTTTTTTTTTGCTTTCGACCCGTTTGAAGCTGGGTGCATGGAATTAACATTATTCGCGTTTGTGAAACGCGAAATGTTAATGTAATTAGATTGTTTCGCGTTTTCAAAACGCGAGAAGATTACATTTGTCTACAAAATAAACCCTACACATTTTTTGTTCCACACTTTTGGGTTTGGCTCACCCAAAAGTCAAGCACCCGGTTAACGGAGGATATGAAAAAAACTAAAAAACATACAAATTCAATGTTGTACGTACCTCAAATTTTCGTAAACTTAGAGCAGCATCCAAACCCTTAGTTTTCTACCTCGAATGAATTTGTCGGACACCCCCGCCAGGCTGATCAAGTTCTAGACAAACAAAATTGTCTCTTCACCACATTGTTTTCTGTGGATCAATATAAAGTGAAAAAAAAAGAACTCAAAAAAACTAACATTGGTTCTTCCGATGTCCCCCGTTACTGCGTGGTAGAGAAGACATACCATCCAGGATCAGGTTTGTAAAATTGTTAATCCCGCTTCCCATGCCGTTGAATCAAAGAAGAAGTAGTAGCGGAGGCGGAGAGCATGGTGAAGAATATATGTTGAGGAAGCCACTATACGAGAAGATTTTAGGGCTTGAATTGCAGCGTGTTGTTGGAACTAAAATTGGGGAGACATTATTATCCCAAATCGAATCATTCCCCCAAAGAAACCCTCATTATATCATTTTTCAGAAATACACTTTGATCGCACAAGGTGCAAATCGAATCATTCTCCAAAGCAACTTCCTTATACCATTTTTCACAAATTAAAAAAATTAATTAACATTTTGATTCCTTCAATTAGGATAAAACTTAAAAACGACTTTTTAAAATCGGAGCTATTATAGATGAAATTCTATTTTTAATAACATGCCATATTTAATAAATTATTAAACTAAGTTTTTTATATGCTAATAAACGATAATGGAGGTAATTTCGGTCAATCGATAATGTCCATAAAACAGTGACCATGCGTTTAACTTCTCATTCCAATCACTTAACATATGTACATTTTATCGGATCAATTCCAATTTTAAAGCTTGATTCCAATCACTTAAGATATGGACATTTTATCGAATTGTAAATTTTAAAACAATTCGTAAATCCGAATAAATGCCAGTTAATTTACAATGATTCAATCTTAGCGGATGTAAAATTAGGAAATTCCAAAATTACGAGAATTGACAGCGGTTCATGATAAGGAAGATTTCCGAATGAATGCGTATTCATATCGGTTTCATCGGATTACAACTAGAGTCTAGCCAAATTGAGTCAGCAGGTGAGGAAGAATGCCAGACGCCGTTGGTGAAGTAGAATACCGACAGGCATTGAAGGAAGGGTGCATATTAATCATCAGCCGGGGAAGGATAATATAGTCAGTCGGTGAAGGATTCCATCAATATGGGAATTGAGATTCAAATGCTTCATGTACTGAAGCATGTGTACAATCCATTTCAAGTAATCAATCAGTAGAGAAATATATTCGATTCTGGATATGAGGCGGGTATAATCTGGTGATGATTTCGACGACACTGAACGGATGATTACATCAAGTTTGGGTGATGTTTTCGGTCATAACAGCAGATGAAATCGCCGGACATATTTGACCAGTTTTTTGGATGGGATGATTCTTGATTGATCGGTGTAAAAGGAAAACCGATCATATGTTAAAAAAAATTAATTTTTACATAATGATAACCATTTTACTGTTATGAAGTGCAGTAAAAAGCTCAGTAAAGCGTTAGAGCCAATAAATTGTTAACACCTAGACTACATAAAGATATTAACGAATGGGTATATGACATGTGTAATTGGAGATTAAGAATGATCTAATTAACTTACATGTGTCTTGTGAGAAAAATTCCCTTAATATATAGTAAGATTTTAAAACCCATTTCCTTAAATTAAGGAGGAGTGGTGTGTGTATTTCACCTAACTCGTGAACACTTGCATGTTTAGCCCTCCTTTCCTATACAAAATGTTAAGTGAGGGTGTATGTGTACCTAGCTATATGTACTTCATGTGCATGGTATAATTTTTAATATTCTCCCATATGAATGACCCAAGTTGCTATTTGCTTACACTACATTTTGTAGGGTTACAAAACTGTAATATCCACGCAGCCACCGCTCATAAGCTTTCCCTTTGAACTTTGATTCTCCCATTGTTGGATTTACCATCATCTCCCACGAATCATTTTGTTAACCCTTATTCATCAAACCTATTGGGCCTGATTTCCCTCAAATAAGGGCCCAACCGAATTTGACCACATTAGTGGTGCTTGACCGAAAGACCAAAACCCAATTTGTTTTGGTTTTGGGTTTGGCCGTGGCTTATAAAAGCCATAGTGCTTTGGTTTTTTGATTGGTGAGTTCGGCTGAGAGAGAAGCAAAGCAAGGGCAGCCGTGCATAGCTTTGTGCACGAGAGAAAAAGAAAGAAAGCTAGGGTAAGTTTTCGGTTTAACTCTCTTTTGGTTAGATCCTTCCAGTCCTACTTTGTGATAGGTGTGTGTGTGGAAGAGTATTGTTGTAATCCACCTTTGGATGAAGTCCTATGTATCCACCGGTTGGTGGAGACTGTATTCCCATTATTGTAATAGTGGAGATTTGACTGTTGTTACAGTCCCGTGGTTTTTCCCGATTTGGGTTTTCACGTAAATTTGTGTGTCTACTTTACTTTATCAGTTCTTGAATTAGTTGCTTGTTTGGTTGGTTGTCCTATTTTATTAGTAGTAGGAAAGGAGATTTTCTTGGGGTTCGCTTCCGTGATTTGTTGTGTTTATACCCTTTCTGCCACAACAGTGGCATCAGAGCTACGGTTCGGTAGTTGAGGTGTTACACCAATAAAATGGAAGAGTCATCGTGTACTGGTACGATGATTAAATTGGCTTCATCCAATTATCATATGTGGAAGCCTAGAATGGAAGATTTGTTGTATTGCAAAGATTTGTTTGATCCTGTTCTAGGGGATGAAGGTAGGCCAAGTGATATGACTGATAAAAAGTGGGCTGATATGCACAGGAAGACTGTTGGTAATATTCGACAGTAGATTGATGAAAGTGTGTTTCATCACTTTTCGGGAGAAACAAAAGCTGATGAACTTTGGGAGAAAATCTAAAATATGTATTGGAAGAAGTCCGGCATCAATAAGTCATTTGTGCTGAAACAGATTACCAGGTTGAGGTACAAAGATGGTGCTAGCATGAATGAGCACTTGAGTTCGTTTCAGGGTTTGTTGAACCAAGCTGTGAATGTAGGTTTAAAGTTGGATGATGAGGTGCAGGCTTTGTTATTATTTAGTTCTCTTCCAGACAGTTGGGAAACTTTTGTAGTGTCAATCAGTAATTCAACCCAGGATGGTGTCTTGACCTTGGATCAGGTCAAAGAGGCTTTGATGAATGAAGAAGTCAGAAGAAAAGAGCAGAGTATTGAGTGTGAGTCGCAGGCTCTGGTGACAGAAAAGTCAGACATAAGAGAGAGAAGTAAAAGTAGAGGGCCACGTGATCGGAATGACAAGTCCAGGGGACGGTCTAAATCCAAGAAAGATATCGTGTGCTACCATTGTCAAGGGAATGGGCACTTTAAGAGGGAATGCAGGGTTCTCAAAAGAGAACTAGCAAGGAGAAAAGGTAAAGGCAAGAAGGATGAATCAAGTAATGATGACCCTACTGCAGTAGTAACTACCAGTGATGTATTTGTATACTGTGATGATGATACAATTAATGTTGCGAGTCACGACAGTGGTTGGTTCGATGATTCAGGTGTGTCTTATCATGTGACGCCTCACAGACACTTCTTTACCTCTTACACACCTGGAGATTTTGGTCGTGTAAGAATGGGCAACCAAGCCTCATGCGATGTTGTCGGCATGGGAGAGGTATCATTGGTAATGAATGCAGGTTGTACTTGTCTTGAAGAATGTCAGAAA